TAAATGATAATAAGCATAAACGGCATATACACTCCAGAGTAATTATCACCGTTTCATGACTGTTTATTCAAGTAAAAGTGAGAGTAAAAATTAGATGCGCAGAATCTGCCACATTGTTTTGGATATCTTCAATGTTAGTGGGATGACAACTGAGACTTATTCGGTATTGATTGCCATCCCGAAGTCCGAGATGGGCGGCCATCCCGAAGTCCGAGATGGCTCATGATCCAAAGGCTGAGAGCCTGACATCATGATCAAAGTGGATCAGCTTTGGTGATGGCTTCATCATAATGTGGTGTGCTATAGTAGTAGGGAGGCGAAAGTTATGCTTCAACACCACCACCATTACGGTTAATGACTAAGCTCTAATTGCTACTATCATGGCAACTGATTTACCATGGATAAATAACGAAGAACTGGACTGATTCTACAGTACACATCATCAGCTAGATGAGGATGATGATATATTCTATGCTTAACTGGAGCATGCCAGAGGAGCAGCAATACATGTGGTCTTTGATGATGATGATGATGATAGTCATCTAATATAGTACTATTACCTAAGGAATCCCAAGTCATCTCTATGAATGTTCTCATCGTCTACTACTATCTTTACACAGATAAGGGTCAGTCATACAATTACTATGCCATTACGGAAGCGGCGGCGGGGCGGGAGCGGCAGCCACTGCTCATATTAAGTGTATCCTCATATTTCTCTATCGTACAGGTTTGCTGATGACATACACAAGGATGTAAGCATTATACTAATACTAGTATGGATTAGGTACTTGAGATATCTGTTGGTGCCTTACAATGGTGTAGTAGTAATAGTAGTACTATAGATGCTCAGGAGCACTCATCAACACTCCGGTTGCTTTATAAGTATCATCGACAATAACAATAACAACAACAACATTATTATTATTATACTTACTTTTACTATCTAATATTTCCATAACATATGTATTGTGTAAGTTACAGGAGAATCATACTACTGATACTAATGATAGAGGAACAGAGCGTGTAGACAGGTAATTATCATCAACAATACTATCTTGGTGTAATACTAAGCTGACATGATAGTAACAAAAGCATTGGAGATAGTATACATCTATATTATCATCATCATGTATAATGATCACAGATATTACATCAGAATATGTTGATAGTAGTAGAGGTCTCGTCCTACCATACCTATCTGAAGTACTAGTAATGTTGATGCAGTATGGTGTGGTGATGATATAAGGGGCTTATGATCGATTAATACATGCTTATTGGATCATCTCGATAGGAAATTATATGATTAGAAGATGATTAGATAGGATCATCACCCATTGTTGTTGCATTATTCTTATTGTCATTCTTCTTACCGAGATAGCTACTCTCAAGGAGGAGGCCACTATGATGGTACATTATTTAGATCCTGTTGTGATGACGCGGTTATATCCAAAAGAGGTGATAATATTAGTATTGTAGTCTTGTAGAGATACTCATTATTGCTGCTCATCTTGTTGTTGTTGTTGTTGTACGACAACGATATTCAGCAGCAAGGACGAGGAGGTAATATCATCATCATTATCATCTTGGAGTATTGAGGACAGAGTAGAACTATTGGAATATTGAGTAGTAATGGTCTGATATTGTCGTAAGTATAATAGTAATGATGACATCATGTACATCAAAGATAATGATTCCACTAAATTGAAGAGTAGAAAATGGTTAATGAACGGGATATAATAGTAATACTCATAACCAATATGAAGTGAGGAGGTATGCTAGTAGTAGTAGTAGAAGGGTAGAATTGGGTAATGATTGAATGTAGTCATTGCTCATATTCTCAATACTCACTCTAACAAGGATATGATGCTCATAAGAAGGAAATGGTAATTAATGTATCATCTATCATGGATAGTAGTAATAGTCTACTATCAATGATGACTCAAGTATGAGTAGTAGCAGCAGCATGAGCCGATATCATCAATAATCTCCACGGCTCAAGATACTTAGCGGTTATATCCCTAGATAACAACAAGACTAGATAACGACTAATGATAGGAGCTGAATCAGCTAAATAGCATAGAAATGAAGTGTGACATGAATACACAGCAATATGATACCATCTTCTGCTTGTATTCAATATTTATACTATTCATAATAGGTATATATGATGAGATATACTCCCCATATAACTCCATCTGTTGTTGAATTATTAATATACAACTCAACAACTAAGTAGATACCATAAGTGCTTTTGTAGTAGTAGTAGTTACTAATCTTGTTGTTATTGTTGTTGATGTATAATATATTCTAATGCTTTCTTCAAATCACCGCCCTGTTCACGTAATATCATAGATGCTGATGTCTCCGTTATTTTAGGACAGCAATCAAACTCTCGAATCAATACTTCAACATCATCTTTATTAATCTTAACTTTCATCAGTTCGCGTTCCCTAACATCATCATCACTACATAATAACTACACCATCTTAATCATACCTATCTGCTTTAGCTTTATTAGCTGCTACCTTCCTAGCCTTCAATTCCTTCAACTTCTGCTCAATTACTTTGGTGTCAACACTCTTTCTCCCTTGTATTTCCTGATCATCATCATCATTATCATCATACGCTAATACATACAGTATGTACCTCTATGTAATCGGTTATCTTCTCAAGAGATCTTGCCTCGTCCCTTTTAGTAGCATCATCAGTGATAGCAACGGATGATGAACTAGGCATGTTTATAAACAAGAAGAAGAAGAGTCTATGATACGTGATGTCAGAATCATTATGGTTGTATATATACCCCATCCTATGCTACTAACAAGCCCTTGTTCATGTTGTTCATCTCACGATGCATCATTGGAGGAGAGTGTAGAGTTCTATCCATCTCCTAGAGTATTATTATGAGTTATCACTTATATACAATATATTAATCCTAATTAGATACCATCACAAGATCACTTCACAATACTCTATCATCATCATCATCATCCAACATCTTCGGATGATCATCATCATCATCATTATCACCAAGCAATTGGTTACAATATCCGAAGACTGCAAGTCAGAGCCTTTACCATTAGACCTGGTATATCACCATATCCATCATCATCATCAACAACAACAATATCACTATCGACAACTCGACAACAGTACAGTAATTCATCATCAATAATAAGAGATGGTTTAATGTATGCCGATAGTAGAAGTATACTTAGTCCAGTGGTAGTAGTAAATAGCATGTTACTGTGTAGTGATGTCATTTATTATCATCTAAGGTACAAGATAATTGTCCATTGATGCATGTAGAGATATGGATTAATGATAGAATCACTGAGTATGGTAGTAAATGGCGTATTACTAGGTGTATTGGTGAAGGACAAGATGTTATATCAGCATCAACTGTAGCACTTAGTCGAGAGTAATATTAGTCATTATGAATACTACTACTACTAGATGATATTTGTAGTAGATACTTCCATACCGATGATGCAGTTGTAATACAAAGTATGGAACAATACTCGAGTATTGATAATGGAGGAAAGGAAGGCAGCAGTAGGGGAGGCGGTATTAAACATCGAGTAATTGCCGTATTGGTAGGTTAACTTGTATATGATCTTAATTATTATTACCATAATAGGCACTCAAAGGACATGATTATTATGATAATCATAGTCCTAATACTACTATCATTCAAGCAACTGGTATTGGTATGACATCATCACAATCAATAACAGTCGCCGTAATAAGAGCTTTATGTTCAGCAATAGACCAGCTTATCACATTATCCACTACAACTCCTATATTATATACACCTGTAATATATCACCACTAGCCACTTTAATGTTCGTTCCATTGTGAATAGATACAGTATCATAAGGAGAAGCCACGGATGATAACTCCTCTATCAAGGCTCGATACACAGCCCCCCAACTCTTCTAATAGAGAAAAGTCATCCTCATCTGCTACTAGTAATGACAACAACAACAACATGATAATTCTCCACAACACTGCTACTATTCCTCAGTAACTACACGCTACAATAACTTTACGAGTATATTCAAGAAGATAGTCAGTATACTCAAGTGCTCCACAAGTGCAACAATCACTATCATCCATGATGATTAGATTCACATATATATCTAAAGCAGTTGTTATATAATAATATCATAGCTATATTGCGTTGATGTTGATCGATTGATGGCGAGCGAGAACTAAATTGATGTTTTCTTCTTCTTCGTTATTGTGATCATCATTAATCATGCCTAATCCCGTTGTGTATTTTGATATTACCATTGGTGGTGCTCCTGCTGGACGTATTACCTTTGAGCTCTTTGCGGATGTAGTACCTAAGACGGCTGAGAACTTTAGAGCTCTATGTACTGGTGAGAAGGGTATTGGTAGGTCTGGAAAGCCTCTATGTTATAAGGGTAGCTCATTCCATAGGATAATAAAGGAATTTATGTGCCAAGGTGGTGACTTTACTGCTGGTAATGGTACTGGTGGTGAATCTATTTATGGTGCTAAGTTCGAGGATGAGAACTTTAAGATCCATCATAGTGGTCCTGGTGATCTATCTATGGCTAATGCTGGCCGTAACACTAATGGTAGTCAATTCTTTATTACTACTGTTAAATGCAGTTGGTTGGATGGTAAACATGTTGTATTCGGCAAGGTAAGCTCCTCTGTTGTATATTAGTAGTTATTACTTTTTATCAGGTTAAGGAAGGTATGGATGTAGTTAGGAAGATGGAGGCCGTTGGTTCGTCCTCTGGCAAGACTTCGGCTCCTGTTGTTATCGCCGATTGTGGTCAGCTAGCTTAGATCATTAATCCTTATTCATACACTTATTATCAATAACAGACTTATTAATGTATGAAGATGATAAGTTTCCTCGATGATTACTACAATGAGTGTTGTGTGTTATAAGTAGAGTAATATCTCCTGCCCTGTAGGGTTCATGCTACACCATTATAATCACTAGAGTACCACCATAGCGCTACTCGAGATGAATGTCGCCGTGCTCGTGGTTGTGAGGAAATATTTCGCATGCACACATACCCTCGCCCGGTCAACGGCCCAGGATGATGATGATCAGTCTCTGATAGAGGTGTATCAGGTTTATAAACTTTAATAAGAGGTCATCCTCAATAACCTCATTTATCATGCTCTAATCTATTATGAGTGCTTGTGGACAACTCTTCCTTGGAGTAGTAATTCTCGTGTTCATCAAAGTCGCTGGTGAATGGGTTGATCCAGTAACCGAGTGGACGGCGGCAGGTAACTTAGAGGAAGAGAGGAACCAATCCAATTCTATGTGGTTTTACCCCATAGGGATATTACATGTATAATTCTTGACGGAGAATGTCGGGCAGCATAGTGCAAGTTCCTATGTACGTGATCAAGATCTTGGATATCGCCAAGATCCAGGTTAGTGTCCTATCCTGGATAAGAAGAAGGTCAATGGTCTTATCCTGGATAAGAAGAAGGTCAGTGGCCTTATCCTGGATAAGAAGGTCAATGGTCTTATCCTGGATAAGAAGAAGGTCAATGGTCTTATCCTGGATAAGAAGAAGGTCAATGGCCTTATCCTGGATAAGAAGAAGGTCAATGGCCTTATCCTGGATAAGAAGGTCAATGGTCTTATCCTGGATAAGAAGGTCGATGGCCTTATCCTGGATAAGAAGAAGGTCAGTGGCCTTATCCTGGATAAGAAGGTCAATGGTCTTATCCTGGATAAGAAGAAGGTCAGTGGCCTTATCCTGGATAAGAAGAAGGTCAATGGTCTTATCCTGGATAAGAAGAAGGTCAATGGTCTTATCCTGGATAAGAAGAAGGTCAATGGCCTTATCCTGGATAAGAAGAAGGTCAATGGTCTTATCCTGGATAAGAAGAAGGTCAATGGTCTTATCCTGGATAAGAAGAAGGTCAATGGTCTTATCCTGGATAAGAAGAAGGTCGATGGCCTTATCCTGGATAAGAAGAAGGTCAATGGTCTTATCCTGGATAAGAAGAAGGTCAATGGTCTTATCCTGGATAAGAAGAAGGTCAGCGGCCTTATTCCAGCGTAGATATTGGTGCACCGTTACAGTGTATCTCGAGAAGCAACCTCAGGAAGACATATACACCAACCTCTAGGCGACGACGGTGCCCGCGGCGGCGGACGCGGCGGCGGGCGCGGCGTGCGCTTTTCTAAATGAGTATTAATCAACATTTCCATGGCGATCACCCGTTTCCATAGATAGGCATAGTAGATACTAACCGTTACGCATGATGATGATGATGAGTACTACCGAAAGGCTAGTAAGGGAAGCTAAACTGTATTGAGCCTTTGCATGGTCATAATAGTAGAATACCATGTAGATCATAAACCTCCTCATCCTCTTCTAATACCTTCGATGAGTGATGTAATTATGGTCACTAGGTAATTTTATGAAAGCATATCAATAGTATATTCATCATTACATACTACTGGGTGGATATACTAGAGCCTAGAATAATTATCAGTATCAGAGGAAGCTCTGATCTACTTAAGGGGATGGTATACTACTAGACCTAGCAACGACTATGGTGTTGTTAATTC